ACCTTTTATGAACCACAAATATTAGTTTAATGCTAGAAATTGATTTTAAATTGCCACAAAATTGGTAATTCAAGTCCACTACTTGGTGACTAGTTCCTTAGAAACTCGAACTAGATCGTACAATTCCACTGCAAAACTGTTCGGGCAGACAGTTGAGTGGGCGCGACATGCGCCTTTGTTTGTTTATTTGTGCCGTGCCGTGCCTGTTTGTTGGTCTGTCTATTTGACTGGCCTCTCAGTTTGTGGAGGGGTCTCTGTCTATCTATGTATTCAGTGGAAGTCCCGCACTCTGTCGCTCAAGGATTCTGGGTGGCTGGGATGCTGGGATGCTGCACTTGTGCGTCTTCTCCTGCGACCGTCGCTAGCGCCAGCGCCTGTGCCTGTGGCTGTTGGCCCAAATGTTTGCGTCGAGCAAACAGCGCATCTGTGCTGCCTCGAAGGATGGCAGGGGAGCGGTAAGCGGTGGGTGCTTCTCAAAACAAAAAAAAAAGCAAAACAGAACGAAAAAAAAGCGAAAAGAAATTCCAACTGAAATATTTTTGTAAGCGGAAAAAAATGAGTGTTTGAACTTCTATGGCTGCTGGGCAGACGAAGGACGAGGGACGTGGGACGTGGGTTGTAGGAAGCGCGACACACGAGGGTGGCTGAGGCTGAGGCGGAGGCTGAAGCTGTTGCTGAAGCCGAGGGTTGCTCAATGGCATAATTGCTATTGCTACAACAACAATTACAAACAACAGCAACAACAGCAACAACAACAACAAAGAGTACAACTTGGTTGCAGTTTTGAAAAGGTTTTTGTGGCAATCAAATGAAGTGTTCCTGAATGGTTTTCAAAGTTAATTTGAGTGATGCTTCAGCGGGTGTGTGTATATAGATGTGTATGTGTGTGTGTGTGTTGATGTTGTTGTTGTTGTTGTTGTTGTTGTACACAGACTGGTGCTGACAGTGGCAACCCTCCTCGATAAATTTCGCCGCGTGTTTATTAACATGTGTTTACAAGCAACTTAAAGCGCCCATATGGAAGAATGCCAGCCTCTAACCCCCTCTGGCCTTGGGTGGTTTGTTGGGTGGTCACACACACACACACACACACGCACACAGACACATCTTGGTGCTGGCCTTTGTGAGGCGACATGTTGTAAGCGATGCTGGTAAACACTTCAAGTTTCCGTTTCGTTTCATTTTTATCGCGGCATCTTTTGTCTGAAATGTTCCCTTTGTTATTGTTGTTGTCGTTGTTGTTGTTCGTGTACTCTGCGGGTCAATTGTGCATAGATGAAAGGCCAAAACCAAAACCAAAACCAGAGCAAAAGCAAAAACCAAGATCAAGACCAAGACCAGCCATGAAGCCATAAATATGGCTGCCGAAGAAGTCTAACTTCAGACAACATCCTATGGCTATGCAACTAATTTTTTCCACTCATACCACTGCATCGTAATGCACTCTGAATTTGGAATGGCCGTCATATACTTACATACAATGTATATATATAAAGCAAACTTAATTGTTGCTGAATTAATTCTACAATCAGCCTTAGACCGTGCTCAACTGCTTCAATTTGGCGATGTTTTTCATTTTCAACTACAAACGCCTTCATTAATCATTAAGCAACTGCCTTTGTTTTATGATTAAGCTTTAAGCGGCCTTTTATGAAAACCCTTAAACACTTATTCTATATATTGTAGATTTGTAGAAATGTAAAGGCTTTCCTCTTCTCCTCTTAAAAGTTGTTTACCTTTTTCCCATTTACGCCCTAGAAGTGTTTAAGAAGCAGATTGAAATCTATAGATTGTAATTAATTAAATAGCTATATTAGATTAAAATTTGACTGCTTCGGAGAGAGAAGATTCGATAAATAAAGAAAACTTAAAAAAAAATCTATAGATCGTATAATCTACAACCCAAAATGTTTAGTCTAGCAGAATGAGCAACTTTTCATATTCTTAGTGAAAATTGTTTCAATATCGGAATGCTATGCGACTTAGGTTTTTCCATCTTATATAGAAATTGTCTTAGCTGATTGCGAAGCCTGACAAAAAAGAGTCTCACTTTGAAGGCTAGCTGGCATCATATTCTGGTATAGTACTTGCATGTATATAGTCGTATGTGATACAGTGTTGAGCTGATTGCACATTAGTTGCCTGTCTCTGGCACAAGTGCAAGATGCTCGCAAATCTAATACAAATTCTAAAAAACCAGGCGCCAGTCTCTCTTCTGTCGCTTGTCATTCAATTCTTATGCTCCTGTCGCTTACTTGCCTTTGACAGCTGCGTTCACTTTTCTCCGCAAGGCAATCTGCTTTGGCATAGCAATGCATACAACAACAACAAAAAAATAAACACTGCTCAGCTTCCCTTTTCCAACTCCCCACCCAATCGTCCCTCTTGCATTTAAAATCAAAATGCGATTTGGCAAACGATTTTGCTTGCAGCTGCGCCTTCTGCGAGCTTGCACTCGGATTTGTTTGCCGCTCAGAACGCGTTAAGCTCCATCCATGTCTGCGTTGTTGGTTGCCTGGCAGTTGACAGGTGGCAGGCAGGCAGTTGTATACCCAGTCCGAGTCCGAGTCCAAGTCCGGGTCCCCTCATTCTTATACGCCACAACGATGTTAGGCTAATGACTTTGTTGCGCCTAATTCCGGGCATATTGCGCCACATGCAGCAACCACAATACACAAATCAAAGTGGCGCGTAATGCGAGCCACCAGTCAACTGAATCACCATCACCACCATCAGTGCCACCACCGCCACCGCCACCATCACCAACACCCAACGAACCGAGGCCACTTAAAGCTACCCAACTACCCCCATCCGCAGCCATCCTCCTCATCCTCGTCGTTCTTCTCCTCCAGTTTACTGCAATTGCATGATGATTTAAGGGCTGCTCACGTCGCATCTGGTGCGGATTAGATTATGCATAATAAAGTGTAATTTATTTGGCAAGTTGGCAAGTGCCATCGAGACTTCCAGCTCTGAGAGCTACCCAAGGGAGTCACCTTGTCTGAAACTGTCCCAGGGGATGGATGCACAGATTCAGATTCAGATTTTCAGCTGAGCTTGCAGTCTTCAGCAAGGGGTTCTCCAGCTGTCTGTCTGCCTGTCTGTCTGTCTGGTCTGTTGTTGCTGCAAATTCTAAGACAATCAACTGATTTGAGTGACACGTTTCAACGGCTCGCGGAAACTCTCTCAGTCCGTCTCTTATCCTTATCTCCTGGCTGCCAGCGGCCTGCGACGCGTGTCAGCATTTTGCATGGCCCGAGCATTTGGCCCATTGGCATTGTGATAACGTGTGCCGCCAATCTCTGACTTGCGACTGACTGGCTGTGGCTGTGGCAGTGGCAGTGGCAGTGGCAGCAACAGCACAAGCGGCAACATAAAGGGATAATCAACTTATTTGGGCATCAGCTTGCCTCCCACAAAACTTTCTGTTGCTGCATTTGACGCGCGGCGTGTGGCGCGACGCGTGCACGAACCAGACCTGAGCAAAAAAAAAAAAAGTTATGCTCGCATATACCGTTTACTGGGGCTACTTAGACCATGAAATGGCGACACGTGTCACAGCCACACACACACAGACACAGACACACGCACCAGCACCAGCACATACAATGCTCTTTAGTGTCGTTGTTGAGGCTACACTTGAAGAAACGACCAGCGAAATCTCAACAAATAATAGGTCGTTTAAAAACCGCTTATAATTATTTATTAGACACACATTTTGTTTACATTTCTTAGAAGTAGAGAGCAACGAAAAGGTAGCAGAATTTTGCAAAACAATCGCTTCAGGTATACTTGATACTACAAAGGTCAACATGGGCTACATGTAACATACATACATATAATATTATATATTTGAAAAAACGTTTTAAAAGTTAACCTTAAAAAAAAGAAACACAAAGAGAAGAAAAACTAAAATGCAATAGAAACTAATATTAAAACTGTGGGACATAAAAAAAAAACAAAGTTATGAATAGCTACCAAGTTATAGAAAATGTTACACTCAAACATAAGAAATAACTCTATTGCTATGTCAAGCATTATACTGATTAGACTTAACACAATTACAAATTTAGAAAAACTTGATCAGAGTTGGTTTAAATGTCCATTACATGCATAGATAATGTATTATCGACTTTGTGCCTTGTGAAATGGCAATGCCGTACAGCTGACCAAATGCAGATACTCGTTTACCAACACTAAACACTAAGAGCGCAACGTTGGGCTCAAAAAAGCCATGAAACTTTTAGGCGTAACATTTAAAGAAAAGGTAAAAGCTGCTTGTAATAAAAAATCTTTTTAAATTTAATTTTGTCAAAATTGAAGACACTTTCTAATAAATAAATAAAGATATTATTTAGTTAATAATTTTATGCTCGGAATAATTAAAGCATTTGAATATTTTGAGAACAATAATTGAAGCCTCTACTTAGGTGCCTGTCATCAGAGGAATTGTGTTGAAAAGGAAATATCACATCAGATCTTATATATTTTAGCAGAGCTGTGGGGAGTTCCTTGCTGTGCGCTTCAGCTTGCCAGCATCTGTACTCTGTACTCCCATATAAATTGTGATTTTTCTCTCAGTGCAGTATCAAGAGTCAGCCGCTCGGCTGTAAGTCGTCAGCGTCGTTTTTGGCTTATCCCTGCGCAAATATTATTTATTGCAATTGTATTTTAAGTGGCACAGGGCCAGGGATTGGAAGTGGGACAAGGACTGGGACTGGGACTGGGTTCTGGGATTGGAACTGGCCCAGGATTGCAGGTTGCCCTCAACTTGTTAGGCACACAAATTGGCGACTGGCGGGCGGTCGTGGTTGTTCGGCTGGTTGGTTGGATGGTTGGTTGGTTGGTTGGTTGGTTGCTTGATTGGTTGGCTGTTTGAGAGAATGAGTCGCGCCACAACTTTACAAATTAAAAAATCAAACCAACAATGAAAATGAAAATTTTACGGTTTTTACTTTACTCTTATTCTTCTTCTTCTTGTTGTTTCTTCATGCAAACAGATTCATTAATGGGCTCCGCGAGCGAAGACGAAGACGACGATGATCCGCCACATTTGCGCGGACCACCACTCGGCTTGGGCGTGCTCGGCCCCAATGGACCAGACTCAGCGGGTGGACCACTGGGCACATCCGATATATCAGTACAAAGCATGAGCACCGATAGTAAAAATACGCATGACGATTCGGATCAGGTAAGAGACCGAACCGACACAGAAACCGAAACCCAGGCTAAGACTTGGACTCAGCCTGAGACTGCGACGGCGACGGCGACGGCGACTGAGAGCCGAAGTAGAAGTCGCTGTTGCCACTCGTTAGTTGCCAGTTCGAGAGTCATTAACAGGTTTTTGTGTATGCGCCTCATACAAAGTAATGAATGGATATGGATTGGAAAGCGGGTCTGTTGGTTACTTTGTTGACGCCGCCGCCTTTTGATTAATGATTGCCAAATGATTATGAGCTCGACTGTGCTTTTCATACTATACTCGTACTAGTATACTAAACTATACATCGCCATATATGTGCGTATGTGCGCCTACAGGAACAGTAAAAACTGCCTAAGATTGCCAAATGTTTTTCAAAAATAACATTCCAATACAAGTGCATCCAATTCCTAATTCAAATGTCATGTTAGGAAAGAAGAGCTTTCCAGAAATAAATAAATATTTATGTAGCTTATTCAAACCCAACACGAAAGTGTTTCGACTTTCGGCAAGTAAGTTACTCTGTTTGACAAAGGAGAAGCCATTTCATTAGATAGATAAACCTTTCATTACTAATTATCAATAAAAAATACAATCAAATTCTTTTAAATCAAATGTCAATTATACAATGTCCAAGTCATATTATATAGGGTTTGAAACAATTCCATTCAATAATATCTCCCAATACATAAATTTAATATTATTTATTTAAGTCTGAAGCGATTCTATTCTGTCCGGAAAACTATTCGGGACTTAAATACATATTGTAAAGAAGCTAAGGAAGGGGAATATTATCGTGAAACTTAGCAGATTTGTTTGGAAAAGGAAAATTTACATTAGGGAAATATGTGCTTTATATGTAAGTTCGATAAATAAAATATAGTAAACGGTAAACGTTTCTAAGGCCATTCAGATGCACGATCCGGAAAACTATTCGGGGCTCAAATACATATGGTATGTAATAAAGCTTAAAAGGGGGATTATAGTATTAACTTGAAACTTGGCAGATTTGTTTGGAAAAGGAAAGTACAAATTAGGGAAGTATGTGCTTTATAAAAATTACATAAGTCAAATATACAAGTAGTTAGCGGAAAACGTTTCTACTTGTAAGACAATCCACATTCAGATCGATAAGCCCATTATGTCTTGGACAAAGTCATCAAATAGGGTTATGTGCCTGTTAAGCGATTTCCACTGCCTCCACACAAATACATACACACATATGTATGTATGTGTCTATGCATCACATCTACATACATACATACATACATATCCACGCATATGTGTATAACTTTATATATGATGTGTTGCAGGGGTCCTTGGATGGTGATCCCGATGGACGCGGCGATTCTCAGGCGGAGAACAAAAGTCCCGACGACGCGAACGGCTCAAAGAGACGCGGACCCCGAACCACGATCAAGGCCAAACAGCTGGAGGTACTGAAAACGGCTTTCAATCAGACACCGAAACCGACACGGCATATTAGAGAGCAACTGGCCAAGGAAACGGGATTGCCCATGCGCGTGATACAGGTGAGTGCTATATGAACATACATGTATGTATGTACATATGTATACATATATACTCGTAGTATATCTGTATGATATGTGCTAGGTGTTGTTGTTGTTGCTGCTATTGGCCAACACAGATGTGTGGAGGGGCCCCCCATAGGAAAAGCGAAAAAAACAAAAAGAGGTGTGTGTACTGGTGTGTACTGGAACTGTCAGCTGCAGTTCAAAGCAATTTGTTATGCCCAAAAAAACCAACAACAACAACAACTACGAAAGCTATAACTATAACAACAACAAACGAGCGACACAAAGTCAAGTGAAGTCGCGACGCAAATGTTTGCTACAATTTTCTGCTGCTTTTTGCTTTCAACTTTTGCTTTGTTTTATTTTATTTTTTATTTTATTTCGCTTTAACGATTTCATGTTGTTGTTATTCCCACTTTGTTGGGCAGCCTGTCTACGTTCCATCAGCATAAAAAACGCATAAATTAAAGCGAGCGCGCACAGCAAAAGTTTAAAACTAAAGCTTGAAAAAAAGAAAAGAAACGGAAAAAATCTCATAAAAATAGTCGCCGACTTAGACAGACGCGCGATTTTTCAACGTCGCCGCCGCCTTGCAACGCTTCATTGCAGACAACAACAACAACAATAATAATAACAACAACAACAACAACAAGAAAAACACCAGCCACAAGTAGTGGAGTACGAAAATCGAATAAAAATTAAATTTATGCCTGCGGGTCGCACTACTTAAATGAAATTTAAAGACAAAAAAATAAAAACTGAAAACGGAAGTTCATTAATTATTGGAAAATATTTGAAATAAGCTTTCTCCCCCAATCTGGGACCCGGGCCTGGGCCTGGTCCGCTGTTAGCCGCATGTTAAATGCAAATGTTAACTAACATGAACTGCAAGAATTTGCAGCCTAAGTGCTCGAGAACACGCAGAGCTCTAACCGCTTATACTATAAGAGTATAGTTGTACATATACTAAGTAGTTAGTATATCAAATCTTGACTGAAAGTCGTGTGAAAGTGCTTGCGAGCTAATATTAAAATAATGATGACGGCACTTGCTGTGATTAGCGAAATTGCATAACAGAGCGCATACCATGCGACTTGGGACTGCGACTGGCACTGGGGATTTGTCGTAATCGCAGCTCCTAAGCCACTCAGACCCCGACTCCGACTCCGACTCAGTGCTGTGTAGTCAGCGTGTGCCTGCTGTGCAAAATTAGTTACCAAATTGAGTAACGCTCAACGCCAAGTCAAGTCATTTGGCCAATGATGGACGATAATGATGTCCGCAACCAGCATTGTGCGGCCAGCATTAATGAACTCACTGTTCTACGAGTTCGTACTTTAAATGCAAGCTACTTACTACAACAGCAAAAGTGATGATGATAGCGGGCCAGTATTCTGCATATACTATGTATACAAGTATATATCTAGTCGTGCTTTCTATACTTGCTCGGCACATAATAAAATAAACAGGAAATCAGTGTGCATTTGAGTCACAAAAATGGAAGGATCGCTGTTAACTCAGAAAAATAAAATAAACTCATATAGCTTTGGCTCTGGGAGCGTCCAAATACCAAGTTTGGTTAATGTGCGCTCAGCTGTTTCCGAAATCCAGGCGTTCATCCAGACAGATGGGCAGGCGGACATTTCTTGTTAAGAATATATGTCTGATTAAGAATATACTTATATACTACATACTTTGCACAAACTTAAAAGGATATATTATATATATTACAAGCTAAGTTTGACGTTAATCGGACGAAAATTGTAGATTTTTCATACAAACGTTGGAGCCCGTTTTCCCCCTTTGGAGTTCGAATTTCCCAAAACGCACTTTCACTGTGAGAGGGATCTTGTGTTCGAAGCTGCTGGTCATTTAATTAGTAATTATTTTTATAATTAGTGGATTACTAAGTCAGATGTCAGTATGAATGCTCCTATCGAGATATGTAGACTTGAGTTCAGCTGACTCGTAAAGACTTCCCAACAAAAGTTGCTCAGTCTGGGGCAGTCACAGAGAAGGTGTACGAGTACTATGCTCTTTTCTTTTTCTCTGCATTGAGGACTTTACCAAGGGCTTACTCTTTCTTTTTATACCTTAACTGCATATTTAGGTCGGTCAGACTCGAAAGTTGTCTGTGTTCTTGTAAAGAAGACTATAATCGGGGATGCGCTCAAAGGCCAGCTTTTCTCATAGGCAGTTTTAGCTCAGTGTCTTAATTTCCCAGAGCGGAAAATAGATGTCAGTTGTATCATTCAAACATGCAGAATATTTAAATTAAATTTAATATTAAAAGAGGTAGATACATATTTCGAAAAAAATAAGCACTTTGAGTCTCGCGCCAGTGCAGCTGTTTCGAGGAGCTGTCAAGGATATCCGCAGCATATGCTCCATCAAAGGCAAAGGTGATGGCAACAGCAACAGCCAAAGCATCATTAGCACACTGACACAGCTTGCTCTCGATTTTTACGCGTTTGTTAAACTCCCTAAATACTTGTACCCGACTGCTGCCGCACGCAGCAACCTCTTCAAAGAAGAAAGAAGCAAAAGAATTGAGAAACATTTCAACAGGTTTGACTTACAAATTTTCCGAACGCGCCCACACTCGGTCACAGATGTTTTTCCAATTTTCCCACACACACACACACACACACACGCACTCGAGTAACCGCAAAAGGCCAAAGTAACTCTAAACTCTAAACGGGATTACGCATGCGTAGCGCAACCGAAAGGTCGTCCCTGAGTTGTTGTTTTTTTTTTTTTTTTTTTTTTTTTTTTTTTGCCCCCCTTTCTCGACCTCTGCCTCGGGATCTTAGCAGCGGACTGACTCGTCTGCCGTTCCGCCTTTGATGTGTCATTGGTTACAGTTAAAGGATATTTAAGCGGCATGCTATGTTGTTTTTCCCCTGTCCCGCTCTTCTTCTTATTTTTTCATTTTTTTGAGTTTCTTAGTTGAGTTTAAAGCGACAAGTGTGACACAATCAACACCTCTTTATGGGCAAGTTGTTGTTATTCGTGTTGCTGCGCCCTCTTCAAATCTAAACGAAAGTGACAAATGCCAGCAACTTGAAGAGGAGATGCTCTTGCTGATGCAGATGCTGTTACTGATGGGTTAATCGCCTCTTCATGAGTGTGTCTGTCTGTCTGTCTGTCTGTGTGTGTGTGTGTGTGTGTGTGTGTGTGTGCGTGTTTGTGTGTGAAGTAAGCTGCAACTCAAAACTGTCAAAAATGTCGTCTTTTGCATCTTCATTAATGCTGCATTTTTGGTATAGCGCCTCTGATGCCCGTCGCGACGGCACGCCCATCTCTCACCTCCCCTATCCCCACCTGCCCCCCACCATGGAGGCCTTAACTCGCTGTGAACCTCAGTGACTGAACGGACGACTGGCATTAAGGCAGAGAGACAGTGCTGACAGCTTCGAGTGACTGACAGTTTTTGGTGTTCTCGCTGTTCTTGATATGCTTGATTGTCGCCTCCTCCTCCTCCTCCTCCTCCTCCTCCTCCTGCTCCTACTTATTCTCCTTCTCCTCATATGTATTTCTCCACCTCCTTCTACGGCAGCTACTGCGGCACGACCAGCAACAGTATCCAATAACATGACCGAGACAGACATAAAGCGCGCAAATTACTAGGAAAGCAGAAAACTGCACTTCGGCCATTCCTAGCAACAATTGCACTTGCCTTCACGCTAGAGGCGAACTCGTGTCTACACTTCTCACGCAGTCTAGTCACGAGCTTAGTCTAATCGATTTTTGTCGAATATCATTCAGGAATCAAAACCAAAACCACATTTTCGACAGTTTCTCGTTCACTTGTCTAACAAAAATATGAAGTTAAGAGACTAACTTAACTTATTTAAAGATGTGAACAAGATGCTAGTCATGGGCTTAATCTTTATGTCTTAGTCTAACCGATTTTTGTCGAATATCATTCAGGAATCAAAACCACATTTTCGACAGTTTCTCGTGCACTTGTCCAACAAAAATATGAATAAATATATGCGATGTCTCAGCTATTGTTCGCGTCAGCCAATATAGAATCCATTTTTCAGACTTCTTAATATCAATCCTAAGACCTAAATGTTTCTTTCTAATGTTGCTCCCAATAGTTGGTTTTACACTTAAACGTTAGACGTTGCAGTTGAACAATTTATATTTATTTGTTTAGTCTCTTAACTTATTTAAAGATGTGAACAAGATGCTAGTCACGAGCTTAGTCTTCGTGTTTTAGTCTAATAGATTTTTGTAGAATATCTTTCAGGAATCAAAACCAAAACCACATTTTCGACATGTCCAACGAAAATATAATATATGTCTCAGCTATTGTTCGCGGCAGCCAATATAGAATCCATTTTTCAGACTTCTTAATATCAATCCTAAGATTTTAAATGTTTCTTTCTAATGCTGCTCTTAAAGATAGAAGGTTTCCTCCTAATAGTTTCTATTTATTTATTTAGTCTCTTAGCCTATTTAAAGATTTGGAAAAGGTGTATTCTTCTTAATAGTATTCTTAGTATTCAAAACAGCGTAAGGTAGTAATTCAGGAATAGTCTTATCAATCGCTCCATCAACTCTTTGCCTTCACTCTTTTGTGAACCACTCGAGTTTGTTGTGGAACTGCACAACTAACCACCTACTTAGGGGTACACTTTGCTCTTTTGGGTAATCCGATCTGCTCTGCGTCAAAGAGCCTCGCCCCTGTTCCATATACATAGCGCTCCTAGTCTAAAACGGCAGCGGGTTGCCTTCAAATTCTCAGACATCTTCAAAAGCAGCTACAAAATGTCAACGGCATGGAGCATGGAAACGAGCAAACGAGCAAACGAGCGTCTGGTATTGGCTTTTGGTTTCTGCTGATGCTGATGTTGATGCTGCTTCTGCTTCTGGCCAGCATTTTTGGGGGAACACCGCATGCTGTGAATTTTATAATAAATTTTACAACAACAACAGCAACCGCAGCAGCAGCGTGACATAAAACTTCTTAAGAACTTTGCCGACAG